CAAATTCCTTTCCATCCCTCACTGAAAACATCACTTCCCCGTGAATCTTTCCTGGCTACTTACAGCCTTCTCGGTAATTCAAGCAATCTGTACCTCTCAGAGTATTTATCAGACTCTATGACAGCTGGAATGCTCCCCAGAAGTGACTATGGGGAGATCTTACTTCATGTACTCTGGACATGTGACCAGGAGGGACAGGTCCCTGAAGAAGGGCATCATGCTTGCTAAAGCAGAAGGGCAGTGAGATGGGTCGACACAATGGCTGCAACAATGTGCTCACACACACCAATGGTGAGGGGGACCCGGGACTGGGAAGTGTTGCATTGACAGGGTTACTATGAGACCGTATCAACTTGACAGGACCTCACGGTAACACAGGAAGTGGTATCTTGTTAGATCAGTTGCTTAAGATTAAAAAGAATAATAATATTGACCACTAGATTATGAAGGTTTGGATATTTATCCTTATCCAGGACATACTGGATTCCAGGTATTCTTCATACACATTAGATAAGTCAACTTGGTTTAACACCCACCATAAGGCTTCCAGGTGGATACTTTGCTCTGTCTGCTCCACAGACGAAAATCTCCAGGCACAGAAAGGTTAGCTCATTTTCCAAAGGGCACACACAGCTCGTAAGTGCCAGGCACGGAATTCAGGCACTTTTTAAGTCTGGGTCTTTTAAAAGTATCTCTTGTGTCTGCCCTAGAAACTGACCAGGTATTGGACATATGAGAGGCAGCCCAGGAACCTTTGGTAAATAAACAGAAAATGACCATTCTGACTTCTCACAGCGTTTTGCAAACTTAACTTTTCTAAATTTAATGTGGATGATATCATTTGTCCAGACAAAATCCAGTCCAGGCTGGAGGAGAGAGAACTAGTTGAGAGGCAGAAGTTGGTTTTTTTGTTTGTTTTTGTTTGCTGCCTCTTCCAGGTCAGGCTCACAGACACCCAGTGACACCCTCAGTCCCCTATTTCAGACACGGACAAAAGTCTCTCCCCGCAGCGGCCTTCAGAAGTGCTGCGCTGTGTTTGTGACGTGATGCAGAAATGCTCCCAAACAGAAATGCTATCACAAGGAGGGGAAACATGTTATTTTTTGTAAGCGGATGTAACTGAGACAGAAGACTTCACTTGCCGAGCGATTCTAGTAATTGTTTGGAAATGAAGCACTCGGGCCAACAATGACCCAGATTCATCCGACCGTCTCGAAATGTTTAAATTCCTATCTCGAGCCCCTTCAGTTCAAGGCTCTCTCTTTGACCTTTTAACTCACCTTTAACTCTTTTCTTTCTTTAATCAGTTTATTAGGGGCTCAGACAACGCTTATCACAATCCATACAGACATCAATTGTGTAAAGTACAGTTGTACATTCATTACCTCATCATTCTCAAAACATTTGCTCTCCACCTAAGGCCCTGGCATCAGCTCATTTTACCCCTTCTCTCCCCGCTCCCCCCTCCCTCATGAACCCTTGATAATTTATAAATTATTATTTTGTCATATCTTATACTGTCCGACATCTCCCTTCACCCACTTTTCTGTTGTCCGTCCCCCAGGGAGGAGGTTATATGTAGATCCTTATAATCAATTCCCTCTTTCCACCCCACCCTCCCTCTACCCTCCCGACACCCTTTAATTCTTACACCATATACTTATTCTTTATTTTTCTGATTGTAACAACAATGCCTAGCTCATTGTAGAGATTTGGGAGAGTTTAAGGTACTTAAACAAATACACTTGTATGTAATAGAGTTTCTTCTAATGTTTTAAAAAGTCTCTTGGAAATTATTCTTTTAGCGACGTGCTCTCATGAGGATGAGATGCAGCATAATTTAAACATATCCTGGTTTAGAGGTTTGGGTGGCTACCAAGTGTTCGCTCCAGTGCACCCAACATCCTCTCCTTCACCTTGCCTGAGGACGACCCCTGGTCCTGTAGGGAAAGGGCTGGCGCACTCACCAGAGGCATCTCTGGGAGTTTGCGGAAGTGCAGATTCTGCGCCCCAGGGGTTCCAATGTGCTTTCAGGTGTGGACTAGGAAGATGGCCCAGTTTTGACAAATGTTGACATTGCCTCTCGCTCCATAGTGCTTTTCTCGCCTCATCCCTCCCTTTCCCTTTGACCCCTGAGTCCAATTTTCCTCACTGCATGAACACCCCCTGCAACATGTGTTGACTCTAGAGTGCCAGGTTCCGTGTGGCCCTGTGAAAGGAGCTATTGGGCTTTGACATAACTCTTATTTTAATCTAGGAGATTGCATCATCTGTGCAGTTCCACTGTAGTGCACACCCCCTCCCTCGCTTTCCCAGGATCTATACCACAGCCGGAAACAGGTTTTTAATACTGCAGATCAGTAAGGTCATTTTCCTGTTGAATGCAAGTAACTACCTTTTGCCCACCAGACCTGCTTGCCTGCCTAGCTTCCCTATTTACCCTCTCCCCACTCTATATAACCAAACAGCCTTCACACAGAACATCACTTCCTCCAGGAAGCCCTACTTGATGACCCTGCCCTAACACATGTATTTCTCGAGCAAAACTTGCTCTCCTTCGTAGTACATCATGATCTAAAATGCATGATTATTAGGTGACAGTCTCTGTGGCCCCGCACCACAAACCTCATGAGATCAGCAATAAGATGAATTCTTCGTCTCTACTCCCTGGGGAGCACCAAGCAGAGGCAGGGCTGCAGGGGTTGATGGATGCGGACTCAGGCCCAGGGGCTCAGACCCAAATCCCAGCTCTGTTATTCAGCAGCTCTGTGCCCTTAGGCAAACTACCTAACCTCTCTAAACCTCAGTTTTACACGCAGGCTACCTCGTTTATTGGTTAGGAAGCACTGGTGGTGTGATGGCTTACCCATTTGGCTGCTAACCAAAAGGTCAGCAGTTCAAAACCACCAACCACTCTGTGGGAGAAAGACAAGGCTTTCCACTCCCATAAAGAGTCACAGTCTCAGGAACGCACAGCGGTAGGTCTGCCCTGTCCTATAGGGTCACTATGAGTCGGCATTGACTGGATGGCAGTGAGAGAGATAAGTTAGAATAACAGGCCTCTGGTGACATAGTGGGTTACGGGTTGGGGTGTTAACTTGCCAGGTCAGCAGTTCAAAACCACCAGCTGCTCTGTGGGGGAAAGATGAGGCTTTCTACTCCCATAAAGAATCACAATCTCAGGAACCCACAGGGATACGGACCCGGTAGGTCCTACAGGGTCACCGTGAGTCGCCATGGACTTGACGGCAGGCAGGTAGGTTTTCGAGGTTTGTTGTGACAATTAATGAATGAATGTACATACATGTGTCAAAACAGGATGCATCTAACTCGCCCATAGACAGGGAGCAGAATGCCAGTGCACATGGAGGTGGGCCATGGAAAATACCTGATACAGGACAAGATGTGAAAAGTCAGCACGGGTTCTATTTTTGTTAAGTTAATCAAGTCCTGTGGGCTTTTTAGTTGTATCTTTTTTCTCCTCATCCCCACAGCCAAAGCCTTGGCCCCCTCATCTTTTTTTTTTCTTCTTCTTTTTTCCCCTGCAGCCTGGTCTTTAAAATAGTTCCACTTATTCTCTGAAATCTGCTCAGTTCACCCTCCGGCTCATGTTATTAGTTCCAGCCCTGATCTTTTCATCACGTCACTTCCTAAAATCCGTGCTCATGTGCCAAGCCCCGCTCTTCTGCCTTCAAGTATTTCCTGAAATGTGACCTCCTCCACGGAACCTGCTTTAAGTGGAAATGAGCTCATCCTTCTAGCTCGTTTCCAAAAAAATAAGTGAAAGGTTGGTGCTTGAGGTTCCAAAGCAGTAAATCCTGTGAGCTCTTCTCAGGATGAATGTATGGGTCCCACCCTTATGGGGTTGGTTGGCTGGGTCCCTTGCTTGCCTGCCGTTAAGAAAGTGGGTCTAAGAGGGCCAAGTGGTTGCTTAACTTGCTCTGTAGATATTCAGGACAATGCCAACCCACATGTGTGCTGAAGAAATATGATTCGATGATGATTTAATGTCTTTGTCCATGCCAAGAACACAAACTACGAACTCTTACATGTGTTGACCCAGGTTACAATCCGTTTCTATGCTGAGCCTACTATGAGACTGGTTTTCTTCATTCGTTTTCACAGAAAAGAACCAGTACAAAGACACAGAGATGCTGACATACAACTGGGACATGAAAAAACAAGACTGAAAATATGACTTTCCACATATCCAGAGAGGCCTTTAGAATCATGGTGGTTTATATTAAAAGGTGCCTCATTTAAAGTTCCACTCCATATGCTTTATCAGTTATTTTGTAAATCTAGCATGGATAACCAAACCATGTCAATACTTATTTTTAACTACTTGTTGTATGCGGTGCATGCGCCATTACAGAGAACTTACACTCAGAGCAAAAAGATTTGTAGCAAAGCATATGACCTTCTTCCCACTACAATGACCATCCCCTAATTAGGCAATGCATCTGATAGTCATTAACAGGAATGAGATAATGAATCACTTTCTCTCTTCTTTGTTAATTTGCTGTAACCAAGCGGCTAATGGATGTCAGAGCTGAGTGATTGCACTGATTATAGTGATTTATAGTTGCAACAAAACAATTTAAAACCATTCTGATTATTCATGTTAAAGATGCTTTATGTTTTGTTTACTAAATGTTTTATGGCCTCCTTCCTCCCACCCCTAAAATACTGTCCCTCTCCTGCCTCCCCACTTTTCACGAAAAGACATCTTCCAGGAAAACCTGAAAGTTGTGAGCCTTTTTTCCCCTTACTATTTTAAACTAAATTGTTTCCTTGTGTGTGTGTGTGTGTGTGTGTGTGTGTGTGTGTGTGTGTGTGGTGTGCGCAGGCACACGCGAGCGCGCGCACACACGTAGATTTATATTTAAAGTTTCCCCAGTAGAAAGGAAAAGCCTTAGGGGTGGAAAGAAAACTTCAGTGGTGCCTAGTTCAAAAGACGACATAAATAAGAGGAAATAAGGCCAACTTCAAGCACTTACCTTGGGGCTCCCAGTTCCTTCCTCACCCTCCACAGACACATCGGTAGCCAGTATCTCGGCTTTGATGGTATCCAGAGCCCTGAGAATCCAGCTGTGCTGGCGTTTGATTTGTCTCTGCAGCTCCTTCCATTGACTCGCGATCATCTGCAGCATGTCCTGCAGTCCTTCTCCAAGAGGAGGGGAAACACAAGTTGTGGACCTTACTGCGTCTTCACATGGACTCATTGTTCGTTTCATTCAGTAAGTTAGGTGGACAATTCAAAGCAACGTGCGTGATTTTAAACTGCCCTCGCCATCTCCTGCCCTGGTAGCTTTCGTCACTGCGACCAGAGAATGGCGGTTCTTGGCATGACACTTTTATGCCGAGGTAACTCTGTGGATGCGTGTTTGGAAATCAACATGGCCTCAGCATGCTGACTGAGTGCACTGCATGTGGGACAAAACCCCGCACAAGCACACAAACGACTAACATGAGAGCGTCACAATCCAGAGGAAAGGGCCCTGTGAGCCTCTGTGTGGAGACTTCATAACAATCAGAAAGATGTATGGGGAGAGGTACAGCGAATTTGATGAGAAATACAGCAAATGGGCTAGAATTAAGAGAGAAGTCCCGAGCATTAGCACATCCGATTAATGCTGCTCTTCTGTTTAGCTGTGGTCAGCTCAAAGCAAGAGCCAAATTGTAATTCATCCCATCTTAAGGTCTTTTACTACCAGGATAAGTACAACCAAATGACAAAAGTATTTTTTATTTATAACCTGTTCCTCATAAATACATTAATGCTGGGGTAAGGATTGGTTTAAGGCCAAAGTCTGCTAATGCAATGACCAGCAAAGGACATGTAAAGGGTTCATGAGTGTGAGTTGGCAGGGAAATAATCAGATACCTCCTGGCAGCATGTCATATCTGTAATGATATCTATAAGCACCTTAACGCATACGCACGTATAATTATATGCCAATTCATTATCTTAATGTTACTTCCAGAGCACCTACATCTAAAGGCATGTCAACGTCAAGTTTTCAGGAATGTGATTTCAATCGAAACTCAGGCGAACAGCAAGCTCCAAATAAAATGAACAGACCATTTGGAGGCAGTATTTCATCTTATAAGCATCACAGCATTGTATGTAGTATATGAAACATTTATAAATCTTGAAGGTCAATCTGATAATGTAAATATTAATAATACATTAGGAAGTGAATATATGCAGTAATTTACAGCAATGCTTCTTCATTCTTAATAGTCTGGAGACATAAAGGCTTGCAATATTTCAGGAGGATTTACCTGCTTTGTGAGATGCAATAAGCTCAAGAAGTTGGAGTCCTTCCTCCTCCACAGCTTCCTTAAGAGCACAATGACTGTCCACATTCAGCTTAAAACTCTGCAGGGAAAGAAGTCAGTGTCAAATCTGGCAAGGTAGCGAAACAAACTAGCCACTCGCTACTTTTGATCAAGGACCACACAGCCCAGTTTAGCCAACAGACAACCTAATGTGCAATACTACAAGCTATTGATACTTGGGATCTAGGATCAAAATGTTTCCATTAGAGTAGCGGAATGCTTCTGTTTGGAAACGGCTGACAAATCTAAAAATCCATTAGGTTTTTATGAAAAGTCACATCCCAAAAGCTGCATGAAGAACAACCATGATCCACAAAATAGACTGCATTTCTACCCGCTCATAGGCGCGCTTTCCTTCAGCTTTTTAAAACGTTAGCAAGAGCACTATTTATGAAACCATAAAAATATTGGCAGCATAAAATATATTAGCCTTATGTGCATCCATTAAATCCATTAATGGAGCTGGGATGGGTTCAGCTCTGCTTCTCAGGTGTCGCGTGACTCCTAGACTGTGGACGTGGATGGAGAGGCTGGATCATGGAGTCCAGCACTTCTCAAGCCTTTGGTTTGCTAGAAGTCTATGCTCTACAACGTGACGCTGCTTTACGATGAGCACATCAAGAGCACGGGGGAGTCTTCATTCGTGGTAGGCCCAGCCTCCTGTCAGCGCTAAAATCTAATTAGTCTCCAGCTCCTTTACCTACTTCTCTTGCTCCATTCTGATGTCTTGCTACAAATGACTATCAGATTATAAACAAAAGGAAAGGGTTGCCAGTTTCATATTTATCACCAACTCACATCTCGTGGGAAGTGTTCCGTAAATGTTGATGGGATAATAGGAGAGATCTGGGACATGGGATCAATGGCGCCTTCAGAAGAGGCTCCCACTTAAATATGCAACAAAGGAAACACTTTGCAAATATTTTTCCATCCTTGGAATACTATAAGGCATTCCAACCACAAGAGATCTGGTGAGGATTAATCATAGTAAATCAAGTTGCTGAATCAGCAGTTAATCTTCCAGGTGAACATTTATTTCCTGACTTAACAATTGGAACCAGCATGGATTTGGAATACTGTGTACCAATTTTTATTTCCTCATGAGTCAAAACCAATCCTACTGACAGCGAGTTGATTCCAAATCTTAGCCATTCCTTAAGATTATAAAACATACAGCATATTTTGCTCCCACTAAGCAGTGATTGGCACATAACTGTATGCACTGCCTCGTACTTGATAGAAAGAGTATTTTATAGAATCTGGAGATGATATGGTCCTAGTTGGAATATAACTTGAATGAAGAACAGCCATAAAAATTGAAATCAGGTATTTACTTATTCATTCATTCATTTAGAAGCCATATATCGTACCTGTTCTATACAGTGAGCCAAGTAATAGGGATTTAGAGGTTGTAAAGCATGGCCTCGGGCATTAGAGGGCAACTGAATATTTTACTGAAGGAAGGACGAGAAGGCTGAGTCAACTGGGATGTCCAGGGCTGAGTGAGCAGTCTGAACTCCTCTTCCCAGCGAGAAAAGGGTCTTTGGTAAAGTGCAGACGGCAGAAGCAGAACGATCAAAAGGAAGCCAGAAATGAAGGAACAGAGGTGGACAGATGTGGCTTTGAAGTATTTAGTTAAGAATTTTGACTTAAAGAAAACCTGCTTCCAAAACGATGAATCATTTCATCGGATTACAAGCATAACTACTGTAATGTTTCCACCAAATGACAAAAAGAGACAATTTTAGAATTTTTTCTAGGTTTGGTCATCATTTTTTATTTACCCTCTTTCAGCTATAGGTGTTTAACTGAATAAAAATAAGACAATGTATGAGAATCTTAATGCTTCTCAATCAGCTGAACAATATAATATCTATTAAAATGGAATGCTTAGGATGTTATAGCCAAAACGTGGTGTGGCAGTTACACAGCTTCATGTCAACTTGATAAAACAAGGAAGGGGTGGAGTCTAGCCTGTCTATCAGGTCACAGTCTGGTGGTCCTTCCTTGTGGGAGTGGTCTTCTCATAGAGATGCTGAGAACTCTCCGTGCTATACGTCCTGTTGACCAGACACATGGAGCCACACTGATGGCAGCCAGCGCCCTAGAGAAGCATCCACTGCCATTGGGTCCACCGGACTTTCCACCCACCAGCCTGTTATCTTCCGGCACTCGGCATCATTGCATGTGCTGCATGAGTTGAAGAGGACTTCATGGGGTAATATCCAACTTATGGGCTAATATCAAACTTATGGGTTTGATCTGGACTGGGCTAGGATGTTTTATCGATGCACTCTTACTTCTTGATATGAAGCTCTCTCTTACACACATATGAGTGTCTCTGGATTTGTTTCTCTAGTCAACCCGGACTAACACACGTGATTGCAATTACGTGTTGTCACTGTGGTAGAAATCCTTACCTTGAAGTACTAGCATGTAAAATGAGACATGTGCTCCAAGGAGAAAGAGAAATCTCTGAGATCAGCTGAGTGGATCAGAAATTAGGAAGAAAGCTAGTCTCAAAATTTCCTCAAAACTGCTCTTTGATTCCCTGCCTACTTAAAACAGACTTGTGTTGAACGGTTGGTATTCAGGAGCTTCCAAGAAGGTGCATTAGGCTTGTATCCAGAGCAGGCAAACCGCAGACTATGCGGAGGGTTGGATGATTTAACTTAATTGAAGCCAAGAGTATAGAATAGATGCAGCTGGATCTGAAGCTGCCTTGAGATGATGTGGAAGTATTTGATTAGGAAATTGGAAAAGATGAGGTATTCATTATTAGCAAAGGGATAAGCTGATGAGCTGGATGCTACAGAAAAGAACCATTTAGCTTAACTGTTACCCAAATGGTACAATATTGCTTGATTTTCAGGTGCACCCATTAACCATTAATAACATCAACTCAGGGGCTTATCATGGGTCTCTGAGAAGGTGGCCACGCAGGCAAAAGAACAAAATTGTCCATGAAACTCCTAACTGCTAAAAGATTCTCTCATCAGCTCTCCTGTCACTCCCTTAAACTTCTCCTAGGGAAGGAAGCTTAAAAGGGGAGAGTTTTCTGTCTTTTTTTCTTGAACTTGATATGTGGGCACGTTTTCCATCCTTGCACTACTGTTCCCCAGCAATGCCCTATGGTATACAGTCTCTCTGCAGCATCCTGAGCACTGTGACACAGGGCAGGACATTCTCTGGAGATTAAATTTATGGTGCACATTGGCAGGGGCGGGGCCATGTTCCGATGTCACTGATTATGCGAGGTTCCATGAGCATGAGTAATCAGTCTATGGGAACACCAGGCCTATTCTAGTGTCTTTAAAGCAGCAGGCAATGACCAACTGGAAGCAAGTAATTAAGGACATGGAAAGTATGGTGACTGAAACCAAACAGTGGATTATCAGAAAGATGATGCATCACAGGCTCACCAGTAAGCATGCCCATTGCTGTAGCTACACTCTCATCTTCTTGTGCAGCACTTCTTGGCAGGATCCAACTTCAGGTCCCCCCTGACCACTTTGGCCGTGGTCGCACAGGATAAAGAATGTCAAACAAAGCAGCTAACCCTGTTCCCCCGACATTTCTAAATAGCCCAGTTTGGTGGGCGAATGGCCACCTGTGCATGAAATGAAACAAGGGGATTGCATGCCTTGAATTATTACCATGAATTACATGCTATGAATTATTGTTCATGTGGGATTATAGCACTAGCTAGGGATACTTTGGTACAGGCAGTTGTGGGAAAGATCATAATCACATTCACAAGCTTAAATATCCAAAGTGTCTGTCTCTGCAGCCTATCACCAGTAAACACTTTCAATCGGCCCCACAGAATGCTGGTAGTATCTGCCAGGGCACCTGAGTTCTGCAAGCCTTGCCGTGCTGGTGAATGGCCAAAGCAGCTGAACGTTATCAAGGTTTCTCCTGACCTAATTTCAAGCAAAAATCCATACAATAAATATTTACTGGCAGTCTGTCCCTGGCATAGATAGATAGAAAAGGTGACCATACACAATGCGGCTCCTCCATCCGGCAGTTTACGCTCTACTGGGTAAAAGTAGAAAGAACATCAGTAACCTTACACGACGCAGCATAGAATCAACGTGTAATTAGGGGCAGAGCCCTGGTGGCCCAGTGGCCAAGACGCAGCTACCAACCGCAAAAGCTCAGCCCTTGGAATCTTCCACTCAACCCGCAGGAGAAAGATGTGACAGCCTTAGAAACCTCAGGGGGCAGGCCTACGATGTCCCAAAGGGTTGCTATGAGTTAGTTTGGGCTTTTTGGTTAATAGAGAATGGTGAGGTCAAGCTGAACGATGTACTGTCCAAATAGATTCTGTATTATTCTTTAAGTAGAGCATTCTGCTGGCCAAGCAGTGCAAAGCTGTGGGCTACATTCCATGGGGTGTGGTAAGTGCCAGAGAAGTGACGTGGGCCCCGTGCTGAGACCAGCTTTTGGCAGAAGCAGGCCTGGAGCAAGGATCCGCTTGAACATGTGCCTAGACTCCCCTTCACTGCAGCATGCACAAGAGCACCAGGGGCACACCAGGGTGTCTGGACACAGGCCGGAGCTGTGGCTGCATAAAACTTAATCTTGAAAACCGTGAAAGAGTAACCGATAGAGATGGATGTTCTAGAAAGATCTTTCTGGGTGTGTGTGGAGTTGATCTGAAGAGGACAGATTGGAGACGAGGAGACCATGTAAGGAGACTGTTAACAGTAATACAGGCCAGATGTTTCTGCTTGCTCAGATTTTTTTTAAATTAAAAAAAAGGTAGACTTCTTTTAAATGAATCAAAGGAGGGAAAGAATTGGAGAAAATCTCTGTCTTTTTAAGTTTTTCTCTGTGCGTGAGAACAGCTTGTGCCAGAATTCAGCTCTTTGGCTGCTCGGATGATAAATACCAGAGGTTATTAGTCAGGAGTCTCCAAATGTGATAGACATATTGAACTGATGAACTTTCACTCCCACTGTCGTTTTAAAGAGATGGTAAATATGCTGATGAGTCAGGCATTTGATGACACCCTTTCTTCACGCAAAAAGATTT